TTCGAAAGATAAATTATTCTTCAATGCTCAGTTTAACACTTTTACGGTGATAAAAGCTCAGTGTCTAAAACTTACGAAACACAGACGTATTCAGAAAGAGTATTGACAGAGGTCGCCGCCAGAACAAAAGCAGTTTCATTGCCTGTCTGACCGCCTGTGGTCTGACATCTTATCACCGCTGAACAATAAATAGGTGTGAATATTTTTAGGCATGTTGTCGAAACAAATGAATAGGATTAGGAACAATGCCGTTTTGGAACAGCTGGTTGAAACAATGAAGTCAGTCACGGTCTTGTTGAATTGGGGGTGCGGTTAGTAATAGGTACTTTTCAAGTTTTCAATTTTTGTTAAGAACTCTTTAACCCCGAAGCCGGAATTGGGGGTGCGGTTACTATTACGTATGCGGTTTATATTAGGACTTTAACGGTAACATCTATAACAACAAATTTATCAGTAAATAAATGACTAAATTACCATCACAAAGACTAAAGAAGAGCTATGGACCCTCAGCTAGAATAGAGCACGAATGCTCTGGCACAGTGAGACTAAACATTACCACAGAACTACAACTGCAGTAGGAATAGCTGAACAAAATAACTTTTCTCCAAACTTGCTGCATCTACTGATAGTTAAATCTACGAACAAAGAGAAGAAGAATAGATATCATACTTACATTTTGCATAGTCTTCCAGTAAAAGATGAAGATGTCCCAAATGACAGTACACTCGTGCTTCAACATCTTCACAGTCTTTTTTCTCTTTCACCTGTTCTTCGTAGAAAGCGATTCCCTAATGAATAAGCATCATACAAATACTGAATAAATACACGCAAGCACACGTTGAAGGCAGCCCAGTAATCACAGGTGTACAACAATTTGCTTCATTGTCCTCCACAAAACGAGAATTAAATTAGTTTAAAAAATGTAATTGTCAAACCAATCAATGACTAAGAAAGTAGCCAGTGGTTGATACCAGAAAGAAGTTAGAAAGCATTTACTCATTTTAACCAGCTACAACTAAATACTACCGTAAAATCTGTATTAGAAGCCGCATCCCTAATAGAAGTCGCACCCATTCTTTTTGAATAATTTAGAATAAAAAATTCATCATTTCTCATATGTGTACATGCTCTAATAGAAGCCGCATCCCCTCTGTTGCATTGTACCATTTTAATAGAAGCCGCGGCTTCTAATACAGATTTTACAGTACTCAGGCGAGACAACTTTTCTTCAAATTTGTGAAATGATTATTGTAATGTTAGCAGCACTCAGGAAAAATAAAATGTACAATTGAGATGTTCACTCAGTTTGACAACCATTATAAGTAATTGACACCAGGAAAACGGAATAATTAGTGATGGCGACAAACGTCTGGAGCTACAGTACAAGAGTGATTTCACCCTCCTTACTTAATATTGTCATTTTCTGATCAATCAAAAATGTCCTCCACTCATAATTCTGGCTTTGCCCAGCATGACAGTCAAGCATGCAACGAAATTATTCAACATGCACTTTATCAAATCACAAAGCTGATTTGTTACAGTAACGTTTTTCTCTGCAGTTATTTGTTGATAAGTTTGAAAAGACGAACCACAACTACAGTTGCTGGCAGATTGGTTTTTGTTTTACTGTAAAAATAAGGGGCAATGGAAGTAATCACAAAATCAGCTTGCCATGTCCTTGATTGAAAAAGCAAAACAACACAAACAAGTTTCCTAATGGTAGTTTCAGAGACAATCAAAGAATGGCTGACAATGTTTGGTGTTGTTTCATGTGACTAACTACTCTTCAAGCTATCATCACTGCAGGCAACTTCATTTAAAAACTGGCCTAAAGGGCTAGAAGTGTACATTTTGAAGTTCAGAACCACGAAATACAGTTAAAACATACATCCTCGCCTTAATGCTTTGACCAATTCAAAACTGAAAGGCAGTTCATGACACGCTAACATTTTGTATTAGTGAATATACTACTTCACAATTTATTGTAGAAGACTTTATTTTGTATATATTTAGAATTCCTTAAAATAATAATATAAAACTTTTTCAATTAACCAGGCAAAATCATTTTTGATGACATTTTTTTGATATCCTAATGGTATGAACGTGTTAAGATGAAATAGATCTCTGAATTCAACTCAACCTTCAATATACATGACCTCATAAATATTTAATGCAATAGTTCTTCTGAAGACTGACAGGGGATTTTGTGTTGATCATCAGTACTTGAACCTTCAAAGCAGCCTTGTTTTTGTGCACTTCGAGGATACAGAGTGTCCCTGCACTATTTCAAGTAAGATGACAAGACAATTTTAATTAAATTATTCTTGATAACAGGTGTCTTATCAACTTCAAACTTCAAGCAGTAGATCACTACACCGATTCTCTCAAAACTACTAAGTAATTGGCCAAAATGGAACTGAGTTTACCCATGGATGGGTAGACATTACCACTGCCACATTTGTAATTTATTGGGAGAGAAATGATTTCAATGTAAGAATTTCATTTTCAGAGTCAATGAAAGGCATATTGTACTGGCTCAATTTGAAGTGCATGTCTAATTTAAACTTGTATAAACCAGCAAATACATTACAATAGGACTCATTTTGACCTAAGACATTCCATTCCTGTCATTTACTAAAGTACAAGAAAATACGGTATTCATTGCTCATTTCATGAGAAGATATGAAAACTGAATTTTTTTTATCTAGTTTTGATTGTCACAATAATTGTCTGCTTTAACGTAGCACCGTTTTATATATCTATTTATAGATGAATCATTTCACCATCAAATTTGTAAATCATCATTCAAAATTGCTATTTGGCTAAGAATAGCTACATAAATAGTTTTTTTTTGTTAGGAAAAAAACAGCGTCTGTTTTTGTAAATACACAGGTATGTGTATGCTGGTTTTCATAATGCATTGATATTACCCTTTGGAATAGCCATAATTTTTTAAAATTCATACATGGCATGCCCTAACCAACCAATTTTTTTATTTTACAATTTAAAACACTCTAAAACCAAACGAACATTGACCCAACATGCTTGGAAAATGGAAGGTGCAATGCACCAAACAAATACAAGCATGACGTTTTTACATTATTTTTTTTTGGAAGGTCTGTGGTACTCCTGTGATAATCACATCATATGTCTCTTATGCAGGTAGCATAAAATATGCAACTAGGGCCTCTGACTAATAAAAAAACAAGCAGCCTGTCGGCGAGATAGCTCTGCTGTTAGCAATGCACATTTCAAATAAAGAATGATATCATCTGAAAATGAATAATATGTACAGTATCAGAGCAATGGGACTTGCGGTTTTCAACAAGAAGTCAAAAATATAATTTTTTACCAAAAATGATAAAAATGTTCACTAAAATTAGAGAATTGAAGATATCATGATGAAATGAACAAATCTGAGAAAGGTCTACCCAAGGTACATATACACCATGTATCAAGGCATTCAGGCTTGTAGTTTTCAAGAAGAAGACGAAAAAGTAAAACATTGACACGGACGGCGACGGACAATCACTCATATGATAAGCTCCGCTCGACAAAGTCGACAGCGGAGCTAAAAAAAAGTCCAAATCTGTCTTACTACTTTAAAACCATCAACGAGGAATGCATCTTATATTTTCAATGAAAATATAATTCAGGAATGATCAACAAATATTTATAATTGATATCACAGTGAGTTAGACATCAAAGTGTTTAGATTTTCATTTTAGTTCAGCCAGGGGCTCTTGAGAACAAGATTTGACACTGACGAATGGATGGACAATGGACAGACAAACATCTACACCACATTATCTCTTGATGCACACACATGAGCCAAAAATAGAAAATACAATTATTCATGTCAAATGAACAATCTGCAAGCAACACATCCCAAGTACTTCTGGTAATACAATTTCAATGACAGTATGTCCCCCACAAAGATATGAAGTCGGGAGTTGAAAAGTTGATGGATGACAATAGCAAGAGTCTGAGTGGCTCCTCTGTCATCTTCAATGACAGAAGAGTAAAAAAAAAATATACAAATATATCAATTAATGAAGAAATCCTGATGCCGTTGAACCTGTCCCACGTCAAAAAACTAATTATATTTTTCAATTACATACATGTATAGTGAATCTTTTCATCATTGATGTTTCAAGTAATCTGTAATAAACTTTAATTGAACTCTCGTTTACAGTGACAGTCAGTCAGCGAGGAATTGAAGGTAAAACTAGCAATATGCATACTGGAAAATATTCTTATATCAGTTTGCATCACATTGCTTTATTTAGATAAAGAGATCAATTTCAATTCCATTCCATGCTTTCGAGTCGAAAGTATGCCTTTTTATAACCTCTGACTACATTTAGATATCACAACTTTGATTCCAGGCATATTAATTTTGATCTTGTGTTGGTTAAGTCGTATTGAACTTGATTGTAGCAATTACCGATGACGACAACTGTACCAGAAAATGGATGTAGAGAGCTCCAGTTTTGACTGCCAACATTGACATTGCGCCTTATATTTTGATTTTGATCTGTGCATGTAATATTGACTCATTCTTTGTTAATTTGGTATCAAATGGAAATAATTTCCAATTGGATGCAGCTCTTAATAAAATATATTACAGGTTTCTTCAGTGATAGGTAGGAAAAGTTTACGTTTATATGGGATTGCAACTGGTGTAAAATATGCAAGACTTTTTATTTCACAGCAAGTATAGTAAAAATGTATACGGAGGTTTATTTGATGAAAATTGACTTATCATTGACTTGGTATTTAATGTGCTACCAAGATAATAGCATCAGCCTCTCCCCCTCAACTGCAACAAATGTGCGAGGGCGCTGTGAAACAAAGAGAGGAGTCAACTTGTGGAAGGGCCATAGACCTTAGAAAAGTTTTTTTAAGGTCTATAGGATGTCCACCAACAAACTAACACCAAACATCGCTCTTCTGAAGACAGAATATGTGTTATTTATGGTTCTGAAATCAATTGATGGGGAAATGTGTCAATAGTCGATTGAATGAACACTGTAAAACCATTCACTCGCATCATTTGAAAGTAATTAGGAAATATGTTTACTTAGCATATAGAAAGACTTTAGGGATATGCCTTCCATTTGTTGTTCCATATGTCTTCCACTTTTCTGAAAATTGCAAAACACTATTTCTTGTCACTGGCAAATTGTAATAAAAATTGTGTGCACTGTGTGTGTGATTTTTGACCAATTCTCAATTCAATATGTCCACCACAGTATGGCTTGAAGTTGCACTCCTACTTCTATTTTCTAAATCTATGAGGTATAATCCACTGATCAATATAGAGACCATCAAATGTTGAGATTGTCAATAAGACATAAATGTACATTCAAGTGGGACTCTCACTGTCTATTGCGGTTATTTGAAGACACACTTTGTTTCACACTAAACTGGTCAACAAATTTAACAAGTGTTTCTGCTTTTTAAACTGATGTCGGCGTGAGCATTGGAAAGCCTAAATAGATTTTGATTGTATACGGTATACAGCGCCACCAGTGGCTGTTCCCGGCTTCTAGAATGCCAGAAATGCTTTATTTTGGTGAATTTTTAACATCAAATTGTCCACCATTTAACCAGCTTGAATCAGATCATGAAACAAAATAATATGCGTATATATCCCAAGATCCACGTTTTTGGACTATATTACAAAATCGATATTTGATGTGAACCATTTTCCATTAGAATGAGTCTGAGACACACATACACACAAATCTTGACTCCATATCGCTGTTAAGTCCATCAGCCATGA